TTATTTTTAAAAATTATTATTTATTTAATTTTATTTATTTATTATTATTCTTCAATTTGACCAGAGAGAGAAAGAGAGGGAGTAAGAAAGCAAGCCTCCAGGTCCTGGACTCTCAACCATGTGGGAGTCCAGCATTTCAACCACCACACTACCTGCCAGCCCCATAAATAATTCTCAAAAAAGATAAAATTAGAGTAAGACTTTAGTTTTTATGGGACTGGACAGTGGAGCAGCAGTAAGAGGTGATGCTGTGAGGCTGACCCACATGGTTCTGGGTTTGTATCCAGAGACCTCTGAGTACTCTGAGCATATGTGTGTCCATGCTCTGGGGTTGTTTGTTAAGGCTAGCAGTGGACTACAGTGTTCCATCTCTCATTCTCTCTCACTCATGAAGTAAATAAATAAACTTAAACAAAGAAATTTTATAACTTACTTCCGACTCTGGGCTGCCCTTCTTTCAGCCGAAGACCCTGAGACATACTTGAACACGGATATCCTCTTCATCAGGCTGAAGGGGAACTTCTGATCGAGCTTCAGTGCTACTTGCTCTGAGAGGTCGATGGAATAGCAGTACGTGAGGCCATCTGAGTTTGGCATATTAAGCAAAATTGGAGGCAGCAAAACAGAGGAATGTTGAACACTGTCCAGGGAGGAATACATGTTCTCATACTTATTCTACAGAGGCATTAGTGCTTATTCCACCTCAATTCTGGCTGGAGTTTCAGGCTCAGGGAAAACCAAGAGTCAAAATTTCTATCCATTATATCTCAAGGGGAATGAGCTCCAGCAACGGGGAGTCCAGATGGGTGTTAACCGGTTATTTCCCTTCCCCTATGGCAACCCATCCCATCTCTGGAGCCTTTCTAACCACTGCAAACAGTCATAAGCCAGCACACATTCCTGTTCTTGTGGGATGAGGCAAGAGGCCTGTCCTAAATAACCTCTGGAGAGACTGATACCTTGTTGTACTTCTATCTTAAGTAGAAGTCACCCTGGCTGAATGTGACCAAGTGAACTCCACATGGGCCTCATTGGCAGCACTTTCTCTATACCCTGTCACCATCCCCCATGATCTTAGAGCGTCTTTGTCATCTGACTTGTGCCAGCCCACCACTGCCTAAGCAGTCACAGACTCAGTCTTAATATATTCATATACCCTTTCAACAGATATTTATCTATTATATGTCTGTGTTGACGAATAAAGAGCATTCTAGACAAGGAATATTTCAGACAAGAAATAAGCTACTGGGGGAGAATTAGTGGTGATAAGCAAAAGCTTATTTTGCTTCAATCAGAAAACCATGCTTGAGACTATAATCTAGTCTAGGGAAACTGGATAAGGCTTTCCTATGGAAATGATGTGGATGCTGAATCCTAAATCACAGACAACATAGTCTAAGACAAAGAGGGCAGTGGAGGATAGAAGGCTATAAGGAAACCCCAACAGGAGAAAGGCATTCCTTTTTTTGAGAGAGAGATTTTTGCTGTAGGGTGTGTGTGCTTGCCAGAGACAAGAGAGACAGAAAGTGAGAAATCACCCCCTAGGGGAATGGCCACGCCACAATCCTGTTCATCCATTCTCTCGAGATTTGGGATATGCAGGTACACATACCTGGTTTGAGTTTTGAGTCCTGGGTCCAGGACTTGAACTGCTGTCGACTACCTGGGAGTCTTGCAACCTAGCCACTACACCATCTGCTGGTCCTGCTTTTTTTTTTTTTTTGGAGAGGTTTTTTTTTTTTTTGCTATAGGGCATGTGTGCTCGCCAGACAGACAGAGAGAGACATAGAGACAGAAAGCGAGAAATCACCCGCTAGGGGGGATGGTCATGCCGCAATCCCTTCTCCTCCATTTTCCTCTAGGGATCTTGGGCACACACGCACACGCGCCCGGCGTGAGTTTTAAGCCACCGGGTCCAGGATGCGAACCGTGGTTGACTACGTGGGAGTCCAGTGACATAGCCATTATGCTAACTGCTGGTTCCCGGTCCTGCTTTTTTTTTAAAGAGAGATTTTTTTTTCTGCTATAGGGCAGAGAGAGACAGACACAGAAAGAGGAAATCACCCCTAGGGGGGATGACCACACCACAATCCCTTCTCTTCCATACTCCTCTTGGGAGTTTAGGGATGCACACACATGCGCCCAGAGTGAGTTTTAAGCCTCCAGGTCCAGGACTCGAACTGCAGTCAGCTATGTGGGAGTCCAGCAATATAACCATTACACCATTACACCAAATGCTGGTCCCGAGAAAGGCATTTCTTGAGTACAATGTTCTTAACTGGAATCCATATGGTATTTTGAATAAGAAAGTTCTTTGCTGGGCTTGACTAGTTCACTCATTACAGAATGTTTAGTACCCTTGGCCACTGGCTACTATTAGGTTGTTGGGAAAGTCATGATGTATTTTTCTATGCAAAAATAGATGGAAAAAAAATGACCCAATATATGACAGTAGCACCTAATTAGTGTGATAAGTAGAAATGTCCCTGCTTACTGCTAAACTCTTTCAAGGAGAGTAATATATTTCTTTCTTTCTGTTTTGTTTTTTTTTTTAAGAGTTTTTTTTTTTTTTTGCCATAGGGCACGTGCTCTTGCTGGAGACAGAGAGAAAGTGAGAAATCACCCTTGGGGGAGATGGCCATGTCACAATCCCTTCTCCTCCATTCTCACATCAGAATTTTGGACACACATTTACATGTACCCAGCATGATTTTCAAACCACTAGGTCCAGGACTTGAACTATGGTCAGTCATGTGGGAGTCCAGCACCTTAACCACTGTGCCATCTCCTAGTCCCTAGGTAGTATATATTTTTCTTTCTTTCTTTAGAGATTTTTGCTATACAGCATGTGTGCTTGCTGGGGAGAGAGACAGAAAAATCATCCCCCCCCGGGGGGGGGATGGCCACACTACAATCCCTTTTCCTCCAGTCTCCTCTTGGGATCTTGGGCATACATGCACATGCATACACACACACACACACACATACACACACACACACACACACACACACACAGCTTGAGTTTTAAGCTGCTGGGTCCAGGACTCAAACTGCAATCGACTGTGGGAATCCAGTGACGTAACCATTATGCCATCTGTTGGTCCCATGTATTTCTAAATACTGATTCTAGGTGCTAACCAAATGCTGTAAGGAAGTCAAAAGTTGTGATGGCTGATGACTTCAGAATGATCTCAAGAATCTATTTTACTTCTGACTCTGTCAAAGTAATAATACTAAACTAGTCTTTGCAATACAAATAATTATAAATAATGGCACTATGTATATATATATATACATTTTTTTTTGAGAGGTTTTTGCTATAGAGCATGTGCGCTTACAAGAGAGAGGCAGAAAGCAAGAAATTGCTCCTTGGGGGAATGACCACGCTGCAATCCCTTCTCTTCCAATCTTCTCTCGGGATCTTTGGGCATGCATGCACACATAACTAGCGTGAGTTTAAGCCACTGGGTCTGGGACTTGAACCATGGTCGACTACATGGGAGTCCAGCAACATAGCCATTATGCAGACTTCTAGTCCTGGCACAATATATTAAACAATTGTTTTCAGACTTAGACAACAAACATTGCTGGACTGTAACCCCCTAGGAAAGGGGAACCATGGCTAAGTCCCAAGATCATGCTGGATTTCTACTAAAGGCACTTTCCAAACTGCAGCATGAGGCTAGCATTTGCTGCTAAGCCAGAGAGATAAGTAAAAAGATGAAGTGGTGGGGACTTAACGTCAGAGTGATGAAAAAGAGGCTGGTGCTCTGAGAAGCTGCTCTAGAAATCTCCATAAGAATTCCCTGATCCTTTAGCAGAATACTAAGATACACATCCATCAGCTGAGATTCTATAAGCCAGAGAAGAACAGCTAGCTACTGGGTAAACAGAACTATAAAAAAGCTGTGAGTTTAACAGATCTTGGAGCTCACATAGGGTTGGGTAGAATCATGCTTAAGTTTCAGTCAAACAGAGATCTTACTGAACCGCCAGAGCATTCAGAAGAGACCTCCAGAAAGACAATGCCTTAAATATAAGGCTAACCTAACTGTTGAATAAGGCTACTCTCTTTAACAAAGCTTAAAAATAAACCTCAAGTTTCAAGCTAATCTTCAAGTAAATCCATTGCCTATCAGAACACAAATCAACACTCTTTAAAGGAAAACAACAAAATCTACTTAATACTTTACTAATCACAGCAACTGGGGTAAAAAAAAAAAATCAGACATGCAAAGCAGCTTGAAAATAGGATTCACAATCAGAAGGAAAATCAGTCAACAGAAACAGAAAGACACAAAAATAGCACAGACGATGGTATTAACAGCAAGGATTTAAAACAGTCATTATAGGGGCCAAGAGGTGGCATGGTAGTTAAGGCGCTGGACTCTCACATGGCTGTGTGATTGAGTCCTGGCTTGCTTTCTCACTTTCCCTCTCTCTCTCTCTCTCTCTCTGTCTCTCTTTGTTCAAGTTTTAAAATAATAATAAATTAAATTAATTCTTTGGAAAACAAAAGTTTTAAATTTTAATAAAGTCTACCTTACCAATTATTTCTTTCATGGATCATGCCTTTCATGTTGTATCCAAAAAATCATTGCCAAGGGACCAGTGGATAGCATTAAGATTACATCAAGCTGGACTCCCACGTAGTTGACTGCAGTTTGAGTCCTGGACCTGGTGGCTTCAAACTCACACTGGGAGCATGTGCGTGCATGCCCAAGATCCTGAGAGAGTGGAGAAGGGATTGCAGCATGGCCATCCCACCGGGGGGTGATTTCTTGCTTTCTGTCTCTCTCTCCAGTGAGCACACACACTCTATAGTAAAAATCTCTCTCTAAAATAAATAAGCAGTCATTATAAATATGTATTTAAAAATAAAAGTGTGTGAAGGACAGCATGAATACAGAGAAGAAAAAGATAAAGAACACTGAAATGACAGCTATAAAAAAACCAGCTGAGGGCCTGGCATGTGGCATGGTGTTTAAGGTACTGGACTCCTACATGGTTGACCACAGTTTGAGTCCCAGACCTGGCAGCTTGCTTCCTCACTTTCCCTTTCTCTCTCTCTGGTCATATTTGAAAATAAATAAATAAAAAAAAATAATAATAAAATAAATAATTTTAAAAATTCAAAAAAAAAAAAACCCAAAAAACAGCTGGAGGGGCTGGCAGATGGCATAATTTTGGTTAAGGTGCTGGACTCCCACATGGCGAACCACAATTTGAGTCCTGAACCTGGTGGCTTGCTTTCTCACTTTCCCTTTTTCTCTCTCTGGTCAAATTAAATAATAATAATAAATAACATAAAATAAAATAATTGTTTTTTAAAAAAATGAGAATATATTGAGCTGAAATATAAACATGTGAAATAAAAGCACGCAACACATGAAATAAATTTAATGTTAAATTAGACACCATGGAAGAAAAGATCACTGAACTTGAAGGTAGGGCAAAAGGAATGATGCAAGCTGAAGTACAAAGGACAAAAGTCTGAGAGAAAAAAGGAAATAAACAAGGTCTCAGTGACTACTGAACTATCAAGCAGTTTAGCACATGTAATTGCAGTCTTAGAAAAAGAGGAAAAAATAGGGACCAGGAGATAAGAACAATGGTTATGTTGCTGGATTCCCACAGTTGACTATGGTTCGAGTCCTGGACCTGGTGGCTTCAAACTCATGCTGGGCATGTATGTGTGCATATCCAAGATCCCAAGAGGAAAGTGAAGAAGGGATTGCAGTGTGGCAAATCATTCCTGGGGATGATTTCTTGCTTTCTGTCTTTCTGTCTCTTCAGTGAGCACACACACACACTATTGAGAAAAAAAAAAAAGAAAGAGAGGAAAAAACAGAAAAAGTATTTGAAGAAATAATGACATTTTTATCCCCCCAGATTTTATAAAAATTCTCTCATAGATCTAAAATCAATGAACTCCAAACAGGATGAAGAAGATTAAAAAAAAAAAAAAAAAGCCTCCGCAAAGCATATAATAGCTAAAAACCAGTAATAAAGAAAATGAAATATGCCACGAAAAAAAAAAAAACAGAAAAAATAAATATATAAAAGGAGTACTAAAAATTATTACTAATTTCTCAGCAGAAACATCACAGGCCAGATAAGTAATGCAATGACATCTTTAAAAGTAAAACAGAAGTCTAGCAAGATCAGAGAAGGCTAGAATTCTGTATTAAGTGAAATAAAAGCATTTCTAGATAATGAAAAGCTGAGGAAACTTGTCATCAGCATTAAGAAATGTTAAAGAAAGTTCTTCGGGACTAGCAGTTAGCATAATGGCTATGTCGCTAAACTCCCATGTAGTTGACCGCGGTTCACATCCCGGACCCGGTGGCTTAAAACTCACGCCGGGGGTGTGTGCATGCATGCTCAAGATCCCAAGAGAAAGGAGGAGAAGGGATTGTGGCGTGGCCATCCCCCTCGGGGGTGATTTCTCGCTTTCTGTCTCTCTGTCTCTCTCTGTCTGGCAAGCGCATGCGCCCTATAGCAAAAACCTCTCCAAAAAAGAAAGTTCTTCAGGCTAAGGGAAAATTATACCTAATGGAAATTTGGATTTATAGAAAAGAATATATCAAAACCAGCAGAATGCAGCCAAAGTAGTACTTGCAGAAGAGTTTACAGCTTTTGATTTTTACAATGGAAAATAAAGGCTTAAAGTCAATAAAGTGAAATGCAGTTTTAACAGTATATTTATGTTACCCATCACCTACATTTATACACTACATACCCTAATACCTATATAATCATAAATTGGAAGAGATTTTCCAACACCTTGTTTAACACCAACATGTCCTATTCTGATGTTCAGAAAAGTAATCCTACTTTATATTTTAGTATTTTTTTCCAGAATATTTATAGAAAGGCTAAAACTTACCCAGTTCTTGTTTTGTTTTGTTTTTGTTTTTTTTAAAGAATTATTTTATTTAACTCTATTTATTTATTCATTTTTAAATTCTACCAGAGAAGGACAGAATGAGAGAGAAAGGGAAAGTGAGAAAGCAAGTCACCAGGTCTGGGACTTGAACCATGACCAGCCATGTGGGAGTCCATGGGCCTTAACCGCCATGCCCCTTGCCAGCCCTAACTTACCCAAAGTTTTTAACTACCCTTATGGTCCAAACCTACTTTTCTTTCATTTTCTTTTTCTAAGAAAAAGACCAAACAAAAACAAATATGCTTCCTATTCCCTTCATGAAACAATGTCTGCAGTCTATGGGTTTCTCTATTTCTTCCAATGAAGATTCCTGTTGTAATTAGCTGAATGTAGGTTTACACCTCAGTTTACAAAAAAATCAAATCAGCATATTTCACTAACTGAGTGCTAAAATGTCACGAGGAAATAACTATGCTGGTATTTTCCTGATAAGGACATTCTGGTCCAGAAAGGGAAGGTAAATTCACCAAAGCTACATGGTTTTCATAGCTGAAGGTAGAACCTAGATGGTTTACATTTGAGCCCAAGACTCTATCTACTTAATACCCAAGACCCTCCAATCTTGTTCACTCTTTGTCCTGACATCTTTCTTTTTTCTTTTTTTTCTTTTTTTTGGGAGAGATTTTCACTGTAGGGCGTGTGCGCTCGCCAGACAGACAGAGAGAGACATAGAGACAGAAAGCGAGAAATCACCCCCCAGGGGGGATGGTCACGCCGCAATCCCTTCTCCTCCATTCTCCTCTCAGGATCTTGGGCACGCACGCACACGCGCCCGGCGTGAGTTTTAAGCCACCGGGTCCGGGACACGAACCACGGTCGACTACGTGGGAATCCAGCGACATAGCCATTACGCTAACTGCTGGTTCCCTGTCCTGACATCTTTCTATAATTCTCTTCTAGAAAGGATACATGCTAGCCCAATCGAAAGTCCACAGACATTACTGAGGAAGGAAGTCTGGGGAATGAGCCAAGAGGCACCCAGCAGGAGCCACGGCACCAGTACCGAGGGCACAACCATCCCAAACACCAGAGCTCGCCTCATCCGAGAGCGGACAGTGGTGACTCCCAACATGGCAAAAGCCACTGGGGTGAAACCTCTGGCATCCTCCACCTCCCCCAGCTTTGACAGCGATGACACAGCCTCAAATGACAGGAAGATGATAGCAGAGAAGACGGCGAAGACCAAGGTGAAGAAGCAGTGACGAACGGTGCCCACGGTTCTCTCAAAATTGCCAGCAAAGCGCCAGATGATGATAGCGCCGCACAGCAGGGAGACAGGATTCTCATAGACAAAGATGTAGGTCACCAGCCTGTAAACTGAAGAGGGAGCTGGGTTAGAGGCCTGATGGTGGGGTGCTCCAAGGAAGGAAAGTCAAGTCATAAGTTGTCCCCATTCCAGAGAATTGAGAGCCAGTGGAAATCAGCAGGAGCCAGGATAGGCAGCAGGAGACAACAACGAAGTACTCAAGGCTCAAAGAAAAGGAGTAAACAAGTAATCCCTGCTCTTTCCCAGAGCAAGCCTTATCAGTAACTGACCTCTAGGTGGAGAAAAAATTCTATTTTTGGCATAGGTTGGTTTCTGAACTTGTAAAGTGTTTTATAATCCTTTTTTAGATTTTAATACTGACCTACCTCACTGGGCACTTTGAGAGTTAATTAATTATAACAGCTTCAGGATAGACTGAATGGGTGTCACTTAACATTCTGTGTGCCAGTCTCCTCAGGTGTAATCCTGACCTCTCCTTCCATAGTGGCTGTTCAAAGGAAGAAAAGGGGGACCATGAATTATTGTTACAGATATAAGGATTATAAAATTATTATTAACAATACAGAAATCAGAAGTCTTTCTTGAAGGTGCTTATCCAATCTTATAGGTAGAATGAAGCTTTATGTGCAGTAAGACACTAAAGACTCCTACTTTCATTTTTGTAAAAGTGGTTACCTCTGATGTACCTTTAAGTCTCTGCAGGCCAAAATGTTTTTTTTTTTTCTTTTTTTTTTTTTATTATCATCATAATCTTTTTTATATTACATTGGATTACATAAACTTTACAGTGTATTACATTGTTTTTTCAAAAGGGAATGCCATGCATGTCAGTCAGTACAGAGACATTAATCTCCCCACTTCAACATTCCATATCTTTTCTGTTTTCCCCAATCATTATTTTTATTATTCTAATTATTTTTATAAAACAGTCAATTGCTATTTCTCGTTTTGCTTGTAAAAATACTTTGCCCATCATGAAATACTTCTCAGACCAATCCAGTTGAGAATACTATACATGTCATCATCAACAGTTAATAACCCCTATCTGTTTCTCACTAACGTCCTGTCTCTCTATTGTTCACTTGCTATCTTTCTCTAGCCTCTTCTCTTCACTTACCCCATTCCACACTGTCCTATTCTCCTTAAGTACCTTCACTGTTTTTATGTCCTCCGAATTTTTGCTCTCTATTATAGAGTGCGGATAGTCGGTATATATTGAGTGGATACATACAATATCTTTCTTTCATAGCCTGGCTTACTTCACTCAGCAATAGATCCTCCATATCTGACCATTTTCTATCAAATTCCAGGGTCTTGTTATTTTTTATGGCTGAGTAGTATTCCATAGAGTATATATACCATGCAGGCCAAAATGTTAAACTAAGGGAGAGAGACTGATGAAGTGACAATGGTATCAAACTTGGAAGTTTATCTACTTGAGTGGAATCTTGGCTCAATTATATCCAGGCTGGCCAAGCTTTGTCGAGTTACAGTCCCTATGGCTTTAGTTTCTTCATTGTATAGTAACAGGGTTAGGCTTAGACACACACATACACCTGGCGTGAGTTTAAGCCTCCAGGTCCAGGACTCGAACTGGTTGATTACATGGGAGTCCAGCAATGTAGCCATTATGCCATGTGCTGGTCCCCAGGCAGGCATTTTTCTTCTGTCTATAGGGAAATGCTATGTGTGCATCTAGGATGGGGGACTGGTGTTAGATCTGAGCAGGGCAGCAGGCTAGGCTGTCAGTCAGGCTGTCTCAGGAAGGCTTCATTATCCGAAGAGTACTTTATTACTTGTTGAAGCTTCTAAAACTGAAATTCCAAGTATAAATGTTAAGATTCTATTTAGAAGCAATTTTATATGGCATGGAGATAATACACCCCAAAGCTCTAGACCCAAAACATCACACAGTAAAAAGGAAAATTCCTGTCTTAATTGTATAATTTTTTGTTTATTTGTTTTTTGCTATAGGGCATGTGTACTCACCAGAAAGACAGAGACAGATAGAAAGCAAGAGGGACCAGCAGATGGTGCAATGGTTATGTCGCTGGACTACCACTTAGTCAACCGCAGTTCAAGTCCTGGACCTGGCGGTTTAAAACTCACACTGGATACGTGTGCCTATGCACCCAAAATCCCAAAAGGAGACTGGAAAAGAAGGGATTGTGGCATGGCCATTCCCCCCAGGGAATGACTTCTCAATTTGTCTGTCTCTCTAACAAGCGCATGTGCCCTATAACCCTTGGGGGGGGCGGGGTAGCAGAAAGTGAGAAATCACACCCCCCCCCCTAGGGGGAATGGCCACTCTAAAATGCCTTCTTCACCATTCTGGAGATTTGGGGTATGCAGGGACACATGTACAGCTTGAGTTTCAAGTAGCTGGGTCTACGGCTTGAGATGTAGTGGACCAAATGGGAGTCCAAAGCCTCAACCATTAGAGCACCTGCTGGCCCCTCCATTGTATAACTTTACACCTCTGCCATTCTCTGCAGTAAACCAAAATGTCATCTAATTAAAAGGCAACAATAAGGCCCATGTCGTGGAACTGTTGTGAGCATTACATTAAATGAATGAATGACTGTGCTTTGCAAAACAGCAAGCGCTATACAAATTTCCCCCAGTCCTCCCTAGAAAAGAATGAGGAAAAAACGGACACTAGAAACGTTTTTAATGAGTGGATGTTTACACTGAATTGGTCTGCCAAATTTCTCTCCCCAGAGAAAACAACCGTCTCTCCAAAGGAATTAGATTCGCCCCTCCGCTGCTGAGCGGGAATTCGATTCAGGAGTAAGATACGAAAGAAGAAATTCCAAACCTCAAGAGGACAGGCCATTCATTTACGGGGGTGGTAAGACATAGATCAATTTTGACGTCAGAGAGAAAGAAAAAACGTTTTCAGTGGGGGGGTAGGCCTAAAGCAGACGTGAGTGTGTATGTGAAATGGGAGGGGAACAGGGAAAACCATTATCCTCGGAGCAAGCATGGGTGTGCGAGCGAATGGACTTGGGGTCTTGACCAGTGTGGGGATGACAGGGCAGGGGACAAATACGGGTAGAAAGGGCTCACAGCGATGAGGAAATGGGGCTGCGGGCAGACAAAGGCTGGAATACGGGGAGTACGAGACTGCGTGGCAGCTGTTCCTCGGGGTGGGGAGGGCGGTGAGGCGCACAGACAGGGGAGGCTAGCGGTGGGGCTCGAGGGGCAAGTCCTGGGGCTGAAGCCCGGGGCCCGGAGAACCGGGAAGGAGGCTCGCCTGGCCGCCCGGGCCCGCCCCCGCTCACCTTGCCAGTTGCGCAGAGCCTCGGACTTCAGCGAGAGGCCCGAGGGCGCCAGGGACGGCTGCAGCAGGAACAGGCGAGGCCCGGACACCAGCAGCGAGAGCAGCGCAGTGAAGAAGGTGGCGGATGGCACCTCGAGACACAAGCGCCAGCTGCGACACGCGGGCCCCGCGGCCGCCATGGCCGCCATCGTTCCCGCGCTCGGTCTCCGCACCAGCCGCTGGGCCTCCGCTCCTGTCTCCCAGCTGCTGTCTCCCCTGGCAACGGCAGAAGAGCTGGCCGGAAGTCCCGCCTCCCGGAGGCCCCGCCTCTCGCTCCCCTGCTCAATCCGGTCGCCCTATCCTGCTGGTGCTGTCCGAGTCGGGGTCCCGGTCGGGGCCTGGGTCTCCGTCTGGGTCGGGGTCGGGAGGTGCAGTCAGTTTCTTACAGCTCCCACGGCCCTAGGGCCGGCCTGAGTCTGGTCTAGGAGCCACTTCAGGGGTGCGAATGTTCCAGCTGGGATTTTATCATTCCCGTTCTAATACCTAATGATTGGGGTTTTAGTTTTATCATCCGCGCTCTAAAAACCTAGTGATTGTTGTGCCTTACGGCTCTCAGAGCCTTTTTACATCACACCCTCCTTATCTGCATCGTCTCTGTAATCCCAAAGTGGAAACTGAGGTCTAGGGACGTCCCTGCGTAATTCAGTTAAATGACAAAGACACACAGAACTCAGGGCCTCTCACGTGGTTTGGGATTGGCCAAGAATACAGCCAGAGCAGTTTCAGTGGCAGGATTGGAGAGGAGGGGGTTGCCAGCCATAATGCCTCATGTGTTTTTCTCTCTTTCTTTAAAAGATTATTTTATTTAACTTTATATATTTATTTTAATTTGACCAGCGGACAGGGAAGAGAGAAAGTGAGAAAGCAAGCCTCCAAGTCCAGGACTTGAACTGTGATCGCCTGTGTGGGAGTCCGGTGCCCTTAAGCAACATGTCACCTGCTAGCCCAACTTTATTTATTTATTTTTGACATTAACTTTCCTTTGAGACTTTTGAGAAGCAGCTGACGTGGAGTTGATGGAGCTTGAGCTGGAAGTTAAAAGGAAGGCAGTTCTCACCCTGGCTCTGTCACTCACTGGCTGGTAAAGAAGCTTCTTGATAAGGAAGCCTCTGTTTCCTCATCTGTGAAATGGGAACTAACACTTATCTTGCAGGGTGGTGATGAGGAAAACAAACTCAGAGGGGTGAAAGCGTGTGAGGAGATTATACTGCAAGTCTATGGAAGTGCAGGATTTGAACTTTAGTCTCTAGGATTTTAAAGTGGTCCCATATTTCTCTGTGCCAGTTAGACACACCTCCAGCAGACATAACATGGTATTTAAGTTCGTTTATGTATTTGTCTCCCTTCCCAGACCGTGAACTTCTTGAGGGTTGTGACTATGTAAGAACCTGCCAGAGTAGGCCCTCACAAAACATCTGGAAGGAATGACAAAATGAGCACTCGTTGAAGCCTTTGGCTTCAGGCCGTTCTTACTCCCTTTTATCTTACCTGGTAATACCCAGGTACCCTTCCTGAGAATGTTATGTTTTAACTGTATAAAATACAGGGGCCAGCAGGTGGTATGGTGGTTAAGGCGCTGGACTCCTACATGGCCAAACCTGGTGGCTTAAAAATCACACTGGGCACTTATACGTGCATGTCCAAAATCCCAAGAGGAGAACGGAGAAGAGATTGTGGTGTGTAAATCCCCCCCCCGGGGGGGTGACTTCTTACTTTCTGTCTCTGTATCTCTCTATCCCTCTGGCAAGCACATGCGCCCTGTAGCAAAAAATCTCTCCCCGCAAAAAGAATTATTTTATTTATTTATTTATTTTCAATTTGCTATAGGACACATGTGCTCATTAGAGAGACAATAGAGGGAAAGTGAGAAAGCAAGCTGTCGGGTCCAGGACTCAAACTGCAGTCAGCCATATGAGAGTCTAGCAGCCCAACCACTATGCCACCTGCTGGCCCCATGAATGTTTTTTTGATTCTCCGCCACTGTTATGAATGTACCTGTGCTTTCCATTGGTGATGAGGTTACAGGTGATGCGAACAGTACTGTATTTAGTTGCCTACATCCATAACTGATGGAAATACTAAAGTTCAGTTAGAGAAAACAAAAATGTATTTTTACCCCTATCTCAGTTCTCAATGAGTTTTCTGATTTCTATGCAGAGACCCCTTGGAAGCTCAAGAACCTAAGGGGAAAAGAATCTGAGGTCTTTTTCATCTTTTATGTTTAGTATTAAAAAACAAACCATATAGTTTATATTACATATATGCTATATATAACTATACATCTCTCACTGAGTCATATTTAAATGAATATTGCATATATTTAAATTAAAGCTACTCATGACGCAGGAGTGGTCATGAAAATAATTAAGGTTTTACGCAACAGGAAGCAGAATGTGAATCAGGCATGTGGTGGGGTCGCTGAAAATAGTAAATGGGAACTTGAGCTGCTGACACCAAAGCCTGGGGCTTGGAAAGAGGATGGGTTTGGGGGGTCCCATCTTGTCTGTGGAGTTCTAGTCTTCCAGACACACGCCGAAAACAGATGTAGGCAAACTGGAGCTTGTCCAAAAGAAAGTGACTGGAAGGCCGGCAGGTGGCATGGTGTTTAAGGGCACTGGACTCCCACATGGCCAACTGCGGTTCAAGTCCCAGACTTGGCGGCTTGCTTTCTCATTCTCTCTCTCTCTCGCTCACATGCACACACACACACAACACAAACACACAATCTGTCCCTCTCTGGTCATATTAAAATACACAAACAAATAAATAAATTAAATTAAATAATTCTTTACAAAAAAACAGTGACCAGGATGCGGCTAGCAGGTGGTGTGGTGGTTAAGGTGCTGGACTCCCACATGGCCAACCATGATTTGAATCCTGGACCTAGAGGCTTGAAAATCACACTGGGTGTGTGTGCATGTGTACCCAAAATTCCAGAAGGAGAAGGGATTGTGGTGCCGCCATTTCCTCTGGGGGGTGATTTCTCACTTTCTCTTTTATTGTTTCTCTCTGTCTCTTTCTGGTGAGCACAAGCACCCTATGACGAACAAAAGACCCTTAAAAAAAAAATGTGACCAGGATCGGTGACAGATGGGGAACTTTAAGTCATGTGTGATGAGGAACAGTGACAGGAACCAAGGAGGCCCCCTGGGGAAGCGTCAGGGGTCCCAGCCACTGGCTGTCACTATCTTTTTTTTGGAGAGGTTTTTGCTATAGGGCACGTGCATTCGCCAGACAGAGAGAGAGAGAGACAGAGAGACAGAAAGCGAGAAATCACCCCCCATAGCCATTACGCTAACTGCTGGTCCCTGTCACTTTCTTCAAGGGCTCTCCTGGAGGACAGAATAGACTGGTTCTGTTTTAGTCTAGAAGGTAGAGATAAGGCTGAAAGGTAGAAATGACAGAGGCAGTCTTAAGAACTTTCTGGCCCAGCTATGGTGGCACAAGTAGGAGGGCACTGCTAGGTGTCCTGGGTCCAGTTCTCAACCCAGTCCAATCAGGCTGGGCACAGGGCATGTGCCCATTGTCCTACCTAACCAAAAGGTTGGGGCAGGAGCATTGCAGCATGGCTGGACCCTGTCCACAATCCCTACCAGTGCCCGATGGTGGGACATTAGTGAAAGGTGGCACTCTGCAAGCCTGACCCAAAGAGCAAGGGTCCACATTGGTACCTGGAGACCTTCCTGAGTACTTAGGGCATATGCATGCCAGTGATCCTGGGTTGGCTGAGGCTAGGAGTGGATTGGGGCATCAGGACCCTGTTGGGGGTGTTGTTTCTCTGTCTCATTCATGGAGGAAATAAATAAACTTAAAAAAATAAAAACCTATCAGGGCCAGCAGGTGGTTAAGGTGGTGGTAAAGATGCTGGATCCCACATGTCTATGAGTCCTTGGTTCAAATCCCAGGCTTGAAAAAACACTGGGTGCGTGTGCATGCATGCCAAAATCCCGAAAGGAGACTGGAGGAGAAGAGATTGCATGATGGCCATCCCCACTGGGGGGGTAACTTTTCACTTTCCCTGTCTGTGTCTCTCTCCAGTGAGTACATGCTCCCTCTAACAAAAATATAAAAAGAAAAAAGCACTTTCTGATGGTTTATGCTGGCCCTCCATGCACTCAAATGAGCTGCCTTGATGGGTAGTGTGCTCTCTGTTCCTAGAGGTGTGCAAGAAGAGGCTGTCTGGGACGCGATGAGAATGTTGAAGAGCTACTCTAGCATCGGATCAGAGGCTGAACTAGATGCCTTTTGAAATCTTGGATCCTCAGTTCTAAGATTCCATAAACAGGGACCAGCAGGTGCACGGTGGTTAAGGCACTGAATATTCCCACATGGCCCACCACAGTTTGAGTCCTGGACCTGGTGGCTTGCTTTCTCATTCTCTCTCTCTCTCTTTCTCTCTCTCTCTGTGTGTGTGTCTGGTTAAGCTCAAATAAATGAATGAATAAATTAAAAATAAAAAGATTCCTTAAACATAGGATGCAGGGGATGGGTACATTTACCATTACATTTGAAATCTTGGATCCTCAGTTCTAAGATTCCATAAACAGGGACCAGCAGGTGCACGGTGGTTAAGGCACTGAATATTCCCACATGGCCCACCACAGTTTGAGTCCTGGACCTGGTGGCTTGCTTTCTCGTTCTCTCTCTCTCTCTTTCTCTCTCTCTCTCTCTCTCTCTCTGTGTCTGGTTAAGCTCAAATAAATGAATGAATAAATTAAAAATAAAAAGATTCCTTAAACATAGGATGCAGGGGATGGGTACATTTACCATTACAGGGGCTCAGGGAAAAAGGTAATGAGTCTCCTGACTTTGTCCTGTAGTCAAGGGCTGTGTAGTCTAATGGAAGAGCATCTAGCAAGAGCTGGGGGCTATCAATCCACTCACTGATAAATATTTATCCAGTGCCTTCCATTGTATTGAGTACTTTGGGTTTACATAGAAAGACATGGCCCAGCCTTATACATGCACACCTGGAGTGGTTTTTGAGCCACAGGGTCCAGGACTTGAACTAGTAAGCCACGTGGGAGTCCATCACCTTAACTGCTACACCGCCTGCTGGCTCCAATCATCAGTTCCATTTTGAAGGTAAAATGTGGCCTCACCACAGTAGTGTGCCCTGGTCACAGTTGTTCAGCAAGCTAAGGCCACTTGGGAGACCTGGGTGTGATTCCCTCTCATCCTGAAAAGCTGGGCACACTTGTCAACCCACAT